ACCTCAATTTAAAATGTCTGAACTACAGTATTTATGCAAACATAGACCACCTCTATTATGATAGTAAATGAAAAAAGCAGGACAAAATTTATAGGTAGTATGATTTGTGTAAAAATTTATATTTTAAAACAACAAAGAGAAGAGACAAGAAGAAAATGCATCTCCTACCAAGAAACTATCACCTTAGTGTCAGCAATTTGGAAATTCTTTATCATTCTTTCTGCTTTTTCTATTTCCCAAATTTTCATAAGGGGTATAATTGTACAAACACCAGTGAACACACTGGAAAGCAACTTACCTCCAGTTTAAAGGCCAGGCCTACAAATGGGTGAGAACTGTCTCTTTTGGAGTTCATTAGGATTTTGGTTTTTTCTTTTGAGTCACTGAAAAATAAAAAAAAATAGCAATTTATGAAACAGAATATTTCTATCAATCTGTTATATCTGCGAGTATCACCTGAGAAAAAAATATGTGTGCTAACTACTGTGACACACATATTTTCACACACAAGTAGAAAGAGACCCGTGAAAACAAATTCCAAGGGCTTAGCCACTATGAAAGGGCAGACTGAAAAACAGAAGTGGTCTGGTAGGCAAAACAAAGAAAGCCGAGCATGGCAGTAACCTGTCATCCCAGACCTCTGGGACGCTGAGGTAGGAGGGTCATAAACTGGAGCCCAGCTTGGGTAACTTATCAACTTAGTGACATCCACTCACAAAATTAAAGCAAAACAAAACACTTTAAAATGAAAAAGTGCTAGGGATGTAGCTTAGTGCAAAATGCAAAGGCACCCAGTCCAATCATCATGGAGGAGGGCATAGCAAGAACTTAAAAAAAAAAATTGCTCCCTAACGCTTTTTAAAGAAAAAAATATGACTGTAAAGAGCTGATTCCAAATGAGAAAATGTTCTACTGGTATACACCCTGAGAGCAAAACAAATCATAATTCACAAAATAGGATACAGGAATTGTTATAGTAAATATTTTTCTATACACCAAAATTGTTACACAGCTAGAATGGTCAATTTTTTTAAATTATGAGAAACATATACTAGAACTATCCTTAAAAGCCTTCATACTGCATAAGTGTTTCTTCTGTATAAACCAAGATTTAATTGCCGAGACTCACTTGTCCTGATTGAGAAGAGCATAGTTCTGGACCTCAGCTGGATTCGGGAGGTATTCTAAAACAGCATCCAAAAGAGGCTGGACTCCTTTGTTCCTCAAGGCACTTCCCAAAAAAACAGGAGTAAATGATCTACTTAAAGTAGCTCTTCGAATTGCAAGCTAAAAAAAAAGAAAGAAAATCAGCGCTTAACTAATGTCAACATTACATTTTGTGTTTCATGCTAATTACAATCCAACACATGAATAAAATAAGGTGACGCTCTTTGGAGTACTAGCTCTAGTGAAGACTAAAATCAGGTCCCAATAATTTGAAGCCAATATACAAAGGAAACAAAAGTAATTTTCTTTTTCAGGGCCTGGAGGTGATTTAGTACACAACTGCTTTCAATACTTTAGAATCACTAGTTTTCAATCCAGCAAAAACAGTATGTATATACCAGAAAACAGACACCTGGAACAGCGCAAACTGCATGTTGATAACTGTGTGAAAGAGAAGGAAAGTGGTTTATGTTTTTTTTAAGTCTCAGGAAGGACACACCAGAAACTGTTCAGTGATAACCTGTCTTAGGGCGAGGGCAGAGAACTAGGCAGTTGGGAAAAGAAAGTAGCAAAATTTTTTATTGTTTTGTTTTTGTGGTACTGGGGACTGAACTTGGGGCCTTCAACTGAGCTACATCACTTCCCCATTTTGTATTTTTTGTTTTGAGACTAAGCTGCCCAGGTGGAGCTTGATTCTTCTGCCTCAGCTTCCAGAGTGCTGGGATTCCAGGTGTGTGCTACCATGCCCAACTGGAGGAGTTTTTAACACACCCTTTTTAATGTTTAAGTCATATGAAAGCACCAGCTATTAGAAACATTTAATTTTTTTTCTTTTATAAAGAACATACACCCAGGAAACCAAACAGTACAAATCACTCATAAATCAAGGAACATGACAACAGCAGTCTCCACAACAAGGATTCTAGTCCCACACCAACCCTGCAGCAAGCTCTGTCGATGTGGTCTGCAAGCTTAAGCAGGCCTCAGAAAGCACACGGTGGAGCTTTCGCTGTAACAGCTGGAAGAGGCCAACAACAGGTTTGCGGCCATGACGCTGCACAAATGTGTAGTCCCCATACAATTACCTCTCAGGCCTCGGGAAAAACAGAAAACATGTCACCCCCAAAAGCTTGGAGCCCAATATTTATACCCACAATTTCTAACCAGCACCACAATTTAAACTAGGATAAGAGCTGAGGAGGACAAACAGAAGGCAGAAAAAGGGGAAGCCTGCAAGGCAAGTAAGTGATTACTGCTTAAAACTATCTTTTGCTAGGTCACTAACCACTTAGGCTACCACTGCCCACTGGGGCACACTATTCCACTTCTTCCCAACACGCAAGCAGGGATCTGAGCGCACTCACTTTACAGGACAGACACAAGAGGGTGGGAGATAAACGGAGAAAATGAAAAATTAAAATGGTCCTTAAAAGAGCTCCTCAAAAGCCTCAGCTTTCTAAACACGCTCCCTTTTTATAAGAATCACTTTCACACTTGAAAGCTACTGCCTTACCATGGCCCCATAATACATCCAACCACAATATGGAAGCTAAAGTATCTCCATGTATCCTGCGCAGCAAAGAGAAGGCACAGCAGGCCCGAAACTTTCCACAGAAAAGCCTGCCGACCAGGCTGGCCCTTGGCTAGTACCCAGGCATGTGGGTTTTAGGAGAAGCCTCACAGTTCTCAGAAATGGCGAGTGGCTCACTGTGCTTATGCTGTTTGTGTCATGTGGTGTGCGCTGAACATCTGCTTTCCCACTGGGAGTCTCAACTTCGGATACACGGGAGGCAGAAGGTGTCCATGTGGCCAGGCGCCAATAAAAACCTGAGGCACTTAGTTTTTAGTGAGCTGCCCTGGGTAGGTAACAGCTCAAGGTGCAGTCCCACCTCCTTGCTGGAAGACGTAGCTGTCCCGAGCGCCTCCCCCGGGACAGAACTCCAGAGGCAGTTTCCGCTGAGCTTCACCTCACGTGCGTTTTCCATTTGCTAGGTTTATTCATCAACTGTCTTTTCGGTGGAATAAAGCACAGCCATGAGGACTGACTGTGTACTGAGCTTTGGGTGTCCTCTCAGCAAGCCACTGAACCTGGGGGACAGCGCCTTGAGAACAATGACACACTCCCTTCAGTCACAGAACGCGATGCCTTACTACACTGTGGGTCAGTCCTATACCTTCCTCTATGTGTTCGTTATTCACTAGGGAGCCGAGGTACTAAGGGCTTTAAGAATACGAAAGGACTCAAATTATAAGATACACTCCCAGTTTAAACAGTTAAAAAGCGGGCGTGGCAGCGCACGCCTGTAATCCCAGCACTAGGGAGGGTGAGGCAGGAGAATCACCATGAGTTCCAGCTAGGCTGGGCTACATGGTGAGTTCAAGACCAGCCTGAACTACAGCGTGACACCCTGCTTTACAAAAAAAAAAGTTAATAAAAAAGTTAGCAAGCATTCTCAACTGCAACAGGATTTTTCCCTGTGTCTCATTTACTATGAACACTTTAGGTGAAATGTCTTATACACAATAATTACCTGATTTCTAGGTGCACCAAGTGGTTTGGGAAAATTAACATCTAGTTCCCCTTTTTTATTTGTGGTAAAAATACACCTAAGATAAAAATTTACCATTTCAACCATTTCTGAGTGTATCATTTGGTGGCATTAATTCATAATGTTGTACAATCATCACCACTACCCACGTGAATTTTCGCATCACCTGAAAATAAAATCCTATGTCCACTTAAATAGATCCCTATTAAACCTTCCACTATCCCCTGCAAACCACTCTTCTACTTTCTGTCTGTATGAATTATGACAATAGCAGGTACTTCATATAAATGGAATCACAAAATATTTGTCCTTTCAAAAACTAGAATGTCTTCAAAGTTCATCCATGTTGTAGCATGTATCAGAATTTTATTCTTTTTAGAGCTACAAAATCAATGTTTAATTGTTTGATCAGTCTTACATGCCTATATCTGGTTACCTGAGCAACTACTTTGAAGATAACAGTATGTAATACAACCACCATTGTTAATTTTCCATCATCTTGTTTTCAGATTCTGTATCGCTTTTATTGTTTTTGTGTTGTTTTGTTTTTGTCTGTTTTTATTTTTGTTCTTTTCTCTTTAAAGTAAAAGAAAACTCCTTTATATAACCTACCACATTTTGTTTATTCATTCATCCATTAATAAACACATGGGTTGTTTCCGTTTTTTTGTCTACTGTGACAAGTGCTACTAAATCAACTATTTGAGACCCTTCTTGCTTGTGGACGTTCCTTCCAGCGTACAACTCCGTGCTTCCCGCTGAATTTTCTGAGGAGCTGCCGTATTATTTTCTATAGTGGCTGCGCTGCCATTCCCACCCACAGCGCATAAGGGTCCTAACTTCTCCGTACCTTTGTCAGCATTAGTTGTTTTCTGTCTGTTTTTCATAAGGCGCCTCTTAATACAATTTGATTTGCATTTCCCTAAAAGATTAGTAATGCTAAGCATCTCTTCATATATCGGCCATTTGTATATCTTGTTTTGGTGCAAGGTTTACTGAAAACTGATTACAGGGTTTAGGCAGGAATCTTCCCTTTATTTTTACAGTGATGAGTAATCAAGTAAACGAATATGTAAGGCTTTACGTTATGTTTCCAAACATTACTGCAGTGTAACTACCAACATTTAGTCTGCAACCATTTAACAGTATCATTTCTTAACCTGTCCAGTCAGAGTAACTTTTTTTTTCCTTTTTTGGTACCAGAGTCACACTCGGGACCTTAAGTTTGCCAGGCAGGCACTGTGCCACTGAGCTACCCAGTGTAACTTGTTTTGTTTTGGTTTTTTTTTTTTTGTTTTTTTTTTCCGGTACCAGGAATCGCCAGTGTAACTTTTTATATTTATCTTTTTAATATACCTAAGAGGCTGATGGGTTAATGTTCTCTTTTTTTTTCTTAGAAATGATTCTTTCCTCATTTGAAGATATTAATAACTCACTACTTTTTTTTTTTTTTAAAGTAATACGACATGTCAAGTATTTTTCCGGGATGCCAATTATGTCAAATAGACTTACTGAGACATCATTAATAAAGCCAGTCCCTAAAGGCATCATGTCCCCTTGCCACACACAAAAAACTCTGCTCATGTAAGACTTATTGTGTGAGCACCTGCCTTTAAGTCAGAAATGGAAGGGATTTTTTCTTCTAGGAACAGTTCACCAAGCTGCTCATCGGAATTGGCAACACACTCAATCAGCTCCTGCCGGTGGTCAGCTGCCACTGCCCTCAATTCGGCCGGAATTTCACCATACCGAATAATCTGACTGAAAAAAAAACAGATGTTTTATTTTAATACTCTAAAGATATTCAATTAGAAATATAAAGCACCACTGAAAAAGATATGATTAATAGCTAAAAAATATTCAGGTAAGAAAGAACTCTGATGTATTTGCACTTAAATGGCAAAACTAATGTATATCTTTAAGGGAAAAATATTTAAACAAGCCGGGCATGGTGATGCACACCTGTAGTTCCAGCACGCAGGAGGCAGAGGCAGGAGGATCTTTGGGAGTTCAAGACCAGCCTGAGCTCCAAAGTGAGCTCAAGGCCAGCCTGAGCTGCACAGTGAGACCGTCTCAAAAAGACCAAAAAAAAAAAAACTTAGACAAACTAACTTGCTCAAGGTTGTACTATTAGTAAACAGAAGCACATTCCAAACAGTCCTCTACAATGGAAAGTAATAGTACCTTTAATCTTATAATGGACATCACATTCTATTTTTCTCCATGCAAAGTTTTGTAGTAGAGAATGATAAATAATCTAATGTAAAATCCTTCCCAATTTAATACAAACCACATTGTCCTATTCTAGATATCTACAATGAACACAGGCTATAAAATATAGTTACATAAAGACAAAACAATGACTTGGAAAAATATTAACGAAGGCAAAGACTAAACTTCTTTTCAGTGTAGCTACAGGACCGTTTTCACTGCATCCCAATTAGAAAGCACGCAAGTTTTACAAATTCATTCATTTAATGCTTATACTGCAGTGAGCACTAACTTAGCTACCAGTCCTGGCCTCATGGGAAGAGGCTCCATTATCTGTGTTTTCCAATGAGGAAACTAAACAAGCACGGGAACTTGCCCAAGGTTAACTACTAGTACACAGGAGAGATAAGGTTCAAAACCAACCTGTGTAGAGCCCACCTGAACTCTGAACTTCCATTTACCATAATTCTGGTCCTTAGCTTTTTATGTGGAGTCCTTTCCAAATACATACACCAGGTGGTCTGTGGCTGGAGGCAGGTACATCGAGAAGCTCCATACGTGTTCTCATGTACAAAATTGTTTAGGAGCGTCTACTTTAGAAATATGCGCCCTGGTAATTCTTGGAAAGAGGATTCATTCATTCATTTAAAAAAAATTTTTTTTTTGAGTTCCTATTATGGATCAGGAAGTTCAAAAGGCTAGAGACATGGCAGTGTATAAGGGAGATACATAAAGCCACAATGACGGTCTCATGTTCTAAGGAGTGAAAAATAAAGGCTGTCAGTACTCAGTCACACAAACGTGAGAGAAACACCTTATGCACTGGCCAGCTCCACCCTTCTCTGTCCACAAGCTGCCATGTAAGAAAACTTCTACAAATCACTGACACAGTGCCCATGTGCCAACTTGTCAGACCCGCGATCCAACTCCACAGCACAGCAAGGGCATCAGCAAGTATCTCTGGAGACACCAGCCGGATACTGGGTAATTCCTCATACCAAAGAGTCATGTATGACTCCCCTCACTGAGATCACTGTCACTCAACAATGACGCACACATGGAAACTTCTAGAAATACAAAGTCCAGCCCCCACCCAATACCTGCTGACTCAGAACCTTTGCAGGTGGACTCTCAGATGTTTCAATGAATTTCGGAGGTGATTTTTATGAATGTTAAGATTTGATAACTTTTCTATGCAGAAGTCACTCAAAAAATTGACAGAACAAATAGCATGTCAAAAAGGTACCACTTTTCTTCTTGAATTTCCTAAACTACAATTAGCTTTACATATTAACTTTTTAATCTTTGTCTGCCTAATGAAATAGGTAGAGGAAATATTTATAATCCCTATTTTCTTCCTATCTTTATAATAGCCGGGAAAAAATAATGATGCTCAATGTTTACAAAAACGAAACAAATGAAAAATGACAGATTACATTATTAGTCTAAACTGAAAGCCTCCTCCTGTCAACACGGGCTGCCACAATATGGCATGAACCTGTTACCCAAAACGTAACATGCTCTCAGAATAAATCCTAGGAGACTAACTATAATAAAAGGTATTTTTAAAAAATCATCTGTAGAGAATATTCTTCCAGGAACATTTCAAAAAGTTTAAAGAAATTATCCTTTCCTTCTCTTTGATGTTTTTTAAAATTTTATTTAATTAATTTTAATGGTACGTTTTAGATATACATAATGATCACATTCATCATAGGGAATCTGAACTAGTACATATTATATGTTGATTTTTCTTTTTTCCCCAATCCCCTCCTCTCCCTTCAACCTCTCTTCTCCTCTTTTATTTACAAAAAATTTTAATAATATATATTCAGCACTTACCCAAAGTCTCCATCAAAAAATATGGCTCGTTCCTCAATAAGATCTATAATACCTTTAAAATTACCCTCCAAGCCAATAGGTATTTGCATAAATGCTGCATTATGATTTAGTTTTGACCTGAAAAATAAAAATACAGTAGTTTATCTCTTTTCTTCTCTCAAAATCCTTTTGAAATGATAAACATAAAAGTAGATCAATGGCAGACCTTGTAGACATGCAAAGCACAGTACCAGGTCAGAATGAAAATACGAAGCAGCAGAGAACAAACTGACAACCAAACCCAAGGACAAGAAGATATAACCCCACTTCATCAATAAAATGAACTCTAAAATACACGTTCTCATCAGATCCCCTGACTATGCCAGGTCAGAAGCAGAAGGGAGAAGAACAACTAGTCAGTGGGTGGCTGGCCAAGAAATTAAAGGACAGCAGAACAGCAAAGTCCAATTCGTATCCTCAGATCAACTGATAAAACTAGAAGCTTTCAAAGACGGAGCTTTTATACGAAACCTCTTAGAACGAGCTGCAAAGTCAGACCCTCTTCATCAGCCCGTACCTCAGTGAGGCGCAAAGGAAACTACACATAGCAGCGGCGATTCTCTCTCAGTGCAGTAGAAATATGCTCCAGCTGCCATTTAGTCTAGACTTAGACCTCCACAGGTAACTCCGGAGTGAGAGCTAAGAATCACTAACTATTTAAAGGAAACCAATAGCTTACAAGAGAAATGTGAACACAAGAAGTAATACTAACCTTCAGGAAGGGAATCACCAGAGGATAAGAAACTAAAATTCAAAAATGTGAGAATTACCTCTGTTTAAAAAGTGTTGCAGTAAAAGATTTTAAAATTATAGTTTTTTTAAAGACAAGCTAAGTAATAAGAGAGACAGACTAATTCCAAATTTATGAGCTAGAATATTAACTTCAAGAATTCTTACGGCCCCGTGCAAAATGAGAAGACAGATGTCTGAAAAAGTAGAAAAGAACAATAGAAAAGTTAAGACATGGAGGCCAGATTCAGAATTTCCAAAATGATGGTTTTCTTTTTGGTTTTTCTCCGGTGCCGGGAATCAAACTCACAACCTTGCGCTTGCCAGGCAGGCGCTGTGCCGCTCAGCTAAATCCCCAGCCCCCAAAATGATGTTTGATGAGTTACAAAATGAGAGAACACAGGGGCGTGATGGCGCACGCCTGTAATCCCAGCACTCAAGAGGCTGAGGCAGGAGGAGTGCTCTTTGTTGGAGACCAGCCTGGGCCAGAAAGTGAGCTCCAGGCCAGCCTGAACTTCATAGCCAGACCCTGCCTCAAAAAGACAAAAAGAGACGAGAGAGAGACAGAGAGACAGAGAGACAGAGAGACAGAGACAGAGACAGAGAGAGAGAGACAGAGAGAGAGAGAGAGAGAGAGAGAGAGAGAGAGAAAACAGAAAAATAGGAATGGAGCAGTGGAGAAAAAAAAAGTACTCAATGCTGACTTGGAAAGAGGTCACCTGTGGACAAGCACAAGTACAATAAAAGCAAAAGGTAAAGAGTGTTTAACTTTACCAAGAAAATATTACAAATACGAAAAAAAGAAAACCAGCACTTTCCCTTTCTCAAACACATCTCTTCCATCTGTTTTGGTTTTTTTCTTTGTTTTGTCATCAAATGTATCACTCTTCCCTCACCTCCTCCCACAGCCTTCACCGCCTAGACCCAGCAGCTCTGCCCTGTGAAACTCGAGCAGAGCTCTACAGCTACCCTTGCACACCTACAAAAACTGAACTGGGAACCAAGAGCTCACTCTAATTCTTAAAGGGTAGGTGAAATGCACTGTGCAAAATGTAAAACGCTGTAAGCACCACTGGGTTATATCTGGTACAGAAAGAAAGAGCTACTGCTGTCCTAGCAAATACGGTATCTTCTGAAAGGAAGATTTCGTCTCTGGGGCATACTTAAGAGCATTCATTAACCCTCAAGTACAGGTTAAAACAAAAAACATCCTCCAGGTTCATCTAAATAAAATGGCAAGTTTTTCTAGAATCTGCTCTGGCTTATAACATCTCTAATATAGCCGAACAGTGTAAACTGTGATTCCTGCCGGAAGTCATCTTCAAACTGCCCAGAATTTAAGTCATCTTCTCTTTACTTTACAGAGAAAGTAGCTGGTGAAACTGCACCATAAGCCAAACTACTGAACTCAGTGGCTCCACTTATTAAGTTACATAAACAGGCTTTTGTAAAAAGGAGAACTTTAAGGATAAAATTTAATAACACTGAATTAACGATCCCTCTGTAAGGTTTGCTGGCCAGATCAGCACGTCCTCCCTGTCCTTCCGGACACTGAGTACCTCATTTGCTGGAGGGCCCTTGCTGGGTTGGAGCCCACTCGGTCCAATTTGTTAACGAAAGTTACAAATGGAACATTGTAGCGCTTCATCTGTCGATTGACGGTCATGGTCTGGCACTGCACCCCACCAACAGCACAGAGAACAAGGACGGCGCCGTCCAACACTCTCAGGGCCCTCTCAACTTCTATTGTGAAGTCCACGTGGCCTAAATGAGAAAAGCAGTGTGTGAGGTTTAAAAAAGCAGTCTGAATTTTTAATACACACACTATCAAGTTTTTGTAGCTCTGCAAATTCAGTAAACCTTCTAATTACAATGTAGATTGCCCATGAGTATCATTCACCCACCGACAAGTCCAAGGTCCAAAAAAATCAGTTCCAGAAAGTATTAGGGTATGAGCAACTTTGAAGTCAACTGGAATATGTAAAAAGAACCTTCCTACTTACATTTATTTGCATTATTTTTCAAGGAAACGACACAAAAATGAAGTGTTCTGGGTCCCACATCCACCTTAATAGAAATTCACTGTTACCTCTTCGTCTGATTTTCACTGTTACCTCTTCTCAGAAACTGGGTCACAGCAGAAGAAAGAAGTAACCCTGCTTTTGCCAAAATGAGTTACGATAAAACCAAGACCCTAACTCACCAGGAGTATCTATAATGTTGATATTAACGTCTTTCCACATGGTATAGGTAGCCGCTGACTGAATAGTGATCCCTCTCTGTCTCTCCAGCTCCATGGAATCCATGACAGCGCCCACTCCATCCTTACCTCTCACCTAAACACAAACACAGCAGTTCAGATTTCTCCGTCCCTGCATCCCAAGAAAAATATTCGCTCAACTGGAATCAAAACAGACACTTCACTTACACATGTTCTGACAAAACGAATCATCAAACCATTTCACCTCACAAAAATAGACACAGTAACGGATAGGCTTTGCCTTGTCTTAATTACCAACGTTTTGTCCAGGGCTGTCCTCAGGGAGTATTAAAACAGGGCCATCACCCTGGTCTTAGAATTCGCCGTACCCTCTCACTCCCTATTCTTACCCACCAGCCTCAAGTCAGTCCCTGACAGAGCACAGATCTTCTCCAGCTGTGCTCCACGTGGCTTCTGAGGCATGAGTGGGAAAGAGGCAGCCTTTAAATTGTAAGGTTGAATAATATGCTCTTCATCCAGAGAAATGTTTCGAACTGAAGGGTTAAGTTAGTGATATAGTAATGCCTTCAGGAGAGTTTCAGGGTTTTTAGAAATATTTTTTTCTGACATGCATTTTAACGATTGAGTTCATACTATGTATCATTTAAATCTATTTTCCATTTAATATTATAAGCAATTATCCACCGTTAATATCAGGTGAAGATTATATTGACAATTGTTTAAGGTATGCCATACTGATTTAACATTTCTAAAAGACAATCTGCTCAGGAGAGTAACAGTGATCGCCTCTAGAAGATTACTCAGACTATTTCAAACCAACCACCTATCCACCCTGTGCATGTGACTTTGGTCAAAGAAGCACTGTTACCATTGTTTTATTCGTTCCGGTTTTGTGAAATGTATTCCATCACATCCTACAAAACAATTAAAATCAAGCTTTCATCAACCTGGAATCAGCCACGAACGTGTACCTCATGCATCTGTGCGATTCTGCCGGTGTAGTAAAGCACCCGCTCTGTTAATGTCGTTTTTCCAGAATCAATGTGCGCTGAGATTCCAATATTTCGTATTTTTTCATTAGGAATTATCCCTGAGGAACACCACCGGCAGAACTTCCAATGAACCTGAAACACAGAAGAGCTCAATTCAGTGCAGTTTTCATGAGACAGGAGGCAATTAAAATGCGAATGAATGGTGGCTAACTTTCCTCCGAAGAATCTTGATGGACATGAGAAAGGCTCCAGACGCAGGGCAAATGCTTTAAACTTGCAACTCCTGTATCCATAGGAGAGATTACGAAAGCCAAGAATGTTCCTTAAAATTAATTAAAATAAAATGGGACAGAAACCTTGGCCAAGTCGTTAATTGGAAAATACACACGGGAGGTGATAAAATCAGAAAGATCCTAAAAACCGATTTAACAGGAAACACAAGTTGTAGCTTCAATTTTACACTAATTTTCACCGCCAGGGAAAGTACCGTGACTTAAGCACAAACCAAACGACCCAGGGTCGGCTGAGACAGGGCGATCAGCCAGCCCACTGTCCGCTCGGCCCGGGGCACTGGGTTCTACGCCTGACCTTCACCCAAGCCACTTCCCTTAACGCACACCGTGCACGAGGCGGCAAGTCCCGGGCCCGCCCAACCTCCCGGGGCACCGAGACGCCGCTCCCGGATTACGAGCCACCATCGGGTACGGGGCGCCCCCTCCCCGCGAGAGGACCGCCAGGTCCCGGGAACGGTCCCCGGCTCGGCCGCGCCGCGCAGCAGTACCTGCCTCCGCCGCCAGCCCAGCGCTGCTGCAGGGACCCGAAAGAGTGGCCGCTGGCCCACAGCCACGGCCGCGGCGGCCCCCAGCACTCCCATGGCCAGAGCGACGGCGTGAACTGCTGCTGCTCCGCGTTCCCACGGCACCAGGACCAAGCGCAAAAAGTCACGCCGGCTACCAGCGCCGAAGAACACTTCCGGGGTAAAGGACAAGCGGGAGGAGAGAGGAGAGGAAAGGGGAAGGAACCCCGGACCGAAGCGCAGCAGCGCCTCTGCTGCCTTCGCGCCCTCTAGTGCATTGGAGGGGAAAGTGCAGCCGCTTAGCTTATCCTTCGGCCACCTTTGTATGGGGTGAGGTGTTCTCTCGAGTTTTCAAGTACTACCTGTGTATCAAAATGCAGATCGAAAAACAGATGTTTTGCCTGTCTAGCAATACGAGAAATGTTTTTTTAACAGGAGTCAAAAAATAACTTGTCAAATTGTAGTACAGTAATACCATCATGAAAAATAATTGTCCATAGGACATCCTTGGAAGAGAATGTAAAGAAAAAATAGTGGGTAAACTATTAATTACAATGTTTTCTCATTTCTTGTTATTGCTCAAAGTCAGGCCAGCTATACATACGCCCAGTCCGTGCGGAAGACGGTATCCTTGATGCTTCCCCTCGGATGTCTTGGAGGCACAGTGAATTTGACATGTTCCAAGTTGAGCTTATGATGCTTTCACCAAAGCCTTAATCCTACAGTCATTTCATCTCAACGGAAGCTCTATTCTTCGAGTTACCGGAGCCAAATATGTCAATCACTTGGACATCACTCCAACACCCCAGACCTAATACACAGGTGCCACACTCAGAAATACATGCAGAGCCCTCCACTGCCCCCTACCTCTCAGCACGGCCATTTCTCCATGGAATTTTTGTGCCAGCTTCTTAACCCATGTCTCTGCTTCTGCCCATGCAGCCTTTTAGTTTATTTTATACACAGTAACTAGAGTGATGATATTAAGTCAGACCAGGTCGTCTCTCTGATGCAAATACTCCATCCAGTGACTTAGTTACTGCTGTTATCTCTGATGTATGTATGTTCAGTGTTTTTCATCACTAAAGACTGAAATGGGTTCCCTCCCACCCGCGGAAGCCCCTCGGAGGCCCCGCTTGAGCAGCTCCACCAAAGGCGTTTTCCCGCTCCTTTTGCTTCAGCCACGCTGGCCTCCTTGCTGCCGCTCATCGTACTGACAGGTATGGCTCTCCCCTTCACTGTCTTACTTTTCAAATAGCCTCTACTAGTGAGTTTTCTGACCAGCCCTTCTCAAACAAGCACTTGGTTCATTTCATAGTACTTCTCAAACGCATTTGGACTTTTATAAATCTATTTGTCTGATTCTCCCAGTGAGGACCAGAAAAATTAAAACTTTAATTACATATTTGGTCCTTAAAATCAATAATACTAGTATAATAATTTTATAAGATAAAAGCCCCTTTAAAAACATCTGGATTATAACTTTATCTAAATTACTTTACATTTTGTGTTCTTACACTATTGGTGTAGTGATGTTACTTGATCCATGACATCAACTTAGGAAATTTAGAATGTCTACATTGTGAAGTGTTCAGTTTCACTTTTATACAAACTAAAATATTTAATTAGTGTTAATTTTGTATCAGGAAACCTGAAAGGAAACATATAATTACCTTCAAATATTAATTCACTACAGTTTGCTCAAATTCATTTATTTATCGGAAGTATTTAAGGGGCTGAGGGTGTAGCTCAGTGATAGAACACTTGCCTAGCATGAAACCCTGGGTCAATCCCCGGAGACAGAAAAGAGGAAAGGAAAAAATTAAATTTTTTTTTTGCAGTGCCAGGATTAAACCCAGGGCGTATGCAAGCCTTCTATCACTGAGCTACACCTCCAGCTGCTGCTTTTACAAATGTAATTTATAAACTATATATTTATAATCATTACATATTTCAAAGCTTTTATCTTGAAATTTGTTCCTGTAACACCATAACAAAGGATGTTATATTAAATTCATTTGCTCACATTCTTTCAAGCAAAAGCAGCAATAAATATAAATCATTGAGCCAAAGAAATTATCCAGAATTCAATCCAAAAAAAGAAAGAGAGGGGCTGGGGATTTAGCTCAGCGGCAAAGCGCCTGCCTGGCAAGCACAAGGTCGTGAGTTCGGTTCCCAGTACTGGAGAAAAAAAGCAAAAAAAAAAAAAAACAAAAAGAGAAAGAGGTGGAAAATATGAAAAGATTAACAGATAAGGGGGATGTTATCGGTTGAAATGTTTTTCTCTACCACATCAATGTCACGTTGATTCTCTCATCAACTTAGTTCTGATCTTTAGCCTATCCACAATGATACTTTGACATTTTAAGATATTTCTAAACATTTGGACCAGACATTTCTGATTTGCATGCACATATAAGGACTAAGTTTGTAATGCCAGTTGTTTTGTCATTTCTTAAAGTACTATTTGGTTCTTTTCAACTTTACTTGGAATTCGTGAGGTCCTTTCCAGCACGTTGATTTCCTTTTCATATTCATGTTCTTCTTTCTGTATTGCTCATGAAATTTTCATGTTGATTTCCTTTAAAATATTGATCAAATTGTCTGTGTCTGGTAATTTGGACATAGGATTATTTCTATATCCGTTCTTTGTACAGACTGTTACTCATGTTGTTTGCCTGATTTATGACTTCTCTGTGAGCTGATTATTTTCCGGCAGCCCTTCCATGAAAACCATGCCTGTCCCAGAGGAATGTGCCATCTTCCAACGAGTAAGCCATACTGCCACCACACTGAAGTTCTCTGCAACTGCAAAGAACCTGGGGCTCTGATGTCACTCAGAGGAGACAATGGTCACAAAAAGGATTGCCTTGCTGCTAAGCAGAAATGTTCTTGTTCCACATTAAGACGAGACCTGTTATCTAGGACTGCAGTTTAAGAGGTGGAGTTCCACAAGTGCTAGAAAGGTTGGGATTCACTGTACCAGCTTTGCCACAGTAACAGGCTACTGCTGGGAGTGTAAGAATGCACTTTTGGTGGATAGAGTTTTTAGGACAGAAAATGTAAACAAAACCAGTTTTTCAGCATCATAGGACTGACAGAGTCCATAGAATGGTCAGGAACTCTTCATAACCTGAAGAATAAGAGCTGGTTTTACTTGACATTAACACATTACAATATAAGGGGTGACTGAAAACTATAGTGAACATGTAAGAATTACAGTAAAAGACACATTAGCAGTAATCCCCCTCAAACCCCCCCTCTCGCTTTGAACAGACCTAGCCCATTTTTCTCGCCACTGTATGGAGTAGTTCTGAAGTCCTTCCTGAGCCTCTTTTCAAGGTGTGACCAATAACATGGTGAGCGCTTCTGCTCAGTACCACCCAACAGAGAGGCGGGCTGGTGAAACCATTAGTGTGTCCCCATGGGCTTGACTCACTGGATCTGACACTGTGACTTCTGGCTCTTCCCCAAAATCTAAGTAACCATGAAAGGTAAATGTTTTGGATCACTTCAGGACACTGACGCAGCTAGGACAATGTAACTAGACATGCTCAGGAAAGAGGATTTAGAGAACTGTGTTAAGAAAGCGTCAAGAATGGTGGGATAAGTGTCTTTGAAATAAGGGAGAGTATTTTGAGGGGGATTAATGGAAATTAACATTTTATAATAAACTTTTTATTTAAATACACATATTTTTCAATCATGGATATAGAAATATAACTCCCAACCTGCTAGATGCCAGATGTGCCAAGTTTGTCTCCCCTGAAATTGAAGAATGAATTCCAAAGGACCACAGAGGTTAAGAGCAGGAAAGATCTGAGACATTCCTGAGACAGAAGAGGCCCCTGAAGTGGCCAGCGAGGCACCTGCCAAGGGTAATTTATAAAGCAAAGTCACAATGTGGGCACAGCGAGGGTCAAGTCAATCAACCTAGAGGGTTACAAGTACAGCCACAGAGCTAATATTGATCCAACCGTGAAGTGAGTCACGTAGCAAGGGAACATGGGAAGAACGAAGGCATTCTGGGGAAGGGGCGGGCCAGGATGCTCTGGTCACCCACCTGGGTGACTGATGTCCATCTGGACTTTACTGGACCGGGTGATGCCAATCACAGTACCATCTCAAGTTACTGTTTATCCTGCAGGGACGCATGTAGGCCCGGTCACTGCAGGTTTATTTGCCTGGAGGCCTGGGCTTCAGTGGATGCGCCTCCAGCCACAGTTTTGGTGCGTTCTTGTCTTCTGCGCTTACTCTCGGAGGACCTGTCCCTGTTTGACCATTCATTTTTACCTAAGCTGACTGCCTATAATAATACCTCATAGCATAGCCACTTAGGAGAAAAGAGTATTTCAGTCACTTCAGGAATGTTTGGCTGACTAGAGAGGATGTCAAGAATATATGCCTTTGTCCTTTTACAAGAATTAATGATATGTCAAGAAATTGTGTATGTTATAGGCTCCTCCTGGAAGACCTGCACAAAAATACAAAAATGTTATGTTCATTCCCCAGTTCTACAATGATAAGACAAAATTAGAAAAACAAGGCAAAAGAGCAGTAAACCTAAGAAAAAGGTTATACTTCATTATCAGAGAAAAATACGAAATTAAGACAAAGAGATACTATTTTACCTGTATGAAATCTATAAAAATAAAAGGTGAAAAATCATATCCACTTTCCATTTTGGGCAAAGGATATGAAAAAACGGATGCTCTTGTGACTACACTGTAGGATGACTATAAATTGGTGCAATCTTTCTGTAAAGCAGTTTGTATATCAGGAAATTAAAAAATACCCATACTCTCTGTATTGTTGACTTTGCTCTCAGTAACTTAAATTATCAGCAAGAGTTATTCACAATGATCATCACCATATTATTAAATAGACTCAGAGGTCCTTGACTCAAAGGGACAACAGATGAAGTGGGATGACTCAAGAGGGCGGAATGATCTTATGCCAAGAAGAACCTTGCCCTGGAGTCTTTTAGTCTTAGTGGGTTTGGTTCAGTCTTAGTGGTCCATCCCTAAAGAGATAACTGCAAATCTTAAAAGGGTGATAATTCCAAGCCTCCATTTATCCCTTAGGGAAGTATGACCAGTTAGCCATTGTCAATCTGGGGTCCCCAACAGTGACTTGGGTGAAGAATTCATGGGATAAAGTCGCAGACAGCCGTGTTGCCAATGTACTATAAGCAGGCTACGTGCACAAGAAATGTTCATGTAAGGAGACCTCTATTGCTGGACATGAGAAATTGGGCCAATGGTTCTACAGGAAATGGAATCCCAAGAAATTCAGGCCAGAATTCAGGGTTTGGAGAGTTATGGCAATGATTGTATTTGAAGAAATGTAGATTTCTGTACATGAATAAATGAATAAATATAGGTTGTACCTGAAAAAAAGATGATATACCCTGAAAATAAGCTCTAGTACATGTTATAGAGCAAAAAATAATATAAGACCTGGTCTTATTTTGGGGGAAATACAGTAGTTAAGATTAATATTTTATTTGTGAACCTTTTATAAGCTAATGAATTATTTCAAGAGTTGAGGTGTTCAAGAGTTGGGTTATAAAGTGGAAGTTTTTCACATGCATATTCATCAGTTAGTTTCACAGCAATGCCTTTTGTTTTCATTTTTGGAAGAAGGCTTTAACCTAGAAATGCTAAGAGGGAGAGACAGCGAGTGAGACAGAGAGAGAGTGAGACAGAGAGGTAGAGAGAGACAGAGACACAAACAGGGAACACAGACATAGAAAAGGAGGAAGGACGCCAGGGAGGAAGGATGGACCCAACACACAAACAGGCCCTACTTGCTGGGAAGAGGGAGACCTGTGGCTGGCTGCAGGGGAAGTTCTGAGGCATACTGGTAAGGTATTTTGTAGAATGTCCCCTATTTACATTTTATAATTTTCAAAATCCAAAGAATAAGCTCTACAAGCGCGTTTGTAGAAGAGGCGGTATTTGGTGTTTACTTTCTCTTGTTTGTGCTTCAGCCCAGTGATAAAGGAGATATATATGACTTTGAAGGCTCAAGGCTAAATAAAAACACAGTTCTGTATCTATCGCCGCAGGAACCCGAGTCCCTTCATCCCATGCACGCGAGGGACGACTGCACAGGTGAAGGTCATTACCTCTGTGCACTGCAAGTCTTTCCACTAATGCGACTTAAGGGAAGGCATCATCTATCGCAAAGCAAAGCAAAGGGCTACTGTTAACACCTGTTCGGGATAAAACTGAAGCAATTTTAGGGAAAAACTTGAGGCAATGGCTTTTTAAATCAAACGTCCACATCAATTTTCAGCAATTTCAGCTGGGATTCAGTGCATACAGTTCTAGTGAATTCTAAATAGAAGATAATTTAAATAAAATTTTACTGAAGTAAGTCTTATGGCTATCGTGAAACATGTTATATTTAATAAATGATGCACAGGAGACAAAAGGAGTGCTAGAAGAGAAAGGAGGAAGATCAGTTTATGTTCACTTCAAATGTTAATGGTCAAAATGACTTCTGTAAAAATAACTATGTACCTGTGGCATAATGTAATTATTACCAGCAAGCCTTAAGCCTTCTTCGAAAACGTGTGTGAATGTGTTACACTATTCGAATTTATGTTCTCGCTCTCTATGAACAACTCCCCACAGTTTTGCCATTTTTGTAGGGCCCCAGTAGAAACATTGGAAGAAAAATATGTATCTGAGGCTACATGCAGGGTACTATCTGATTTTGTTGATGTTTTTTGTTTATTGAGACAGAGTCTCGCTATGTAGTTGAGGCTGGCCTTCAACTCACTATGTAGCCCAGGCTGACCTTGAACTCCTAGTGATGCTCCTGCCTGCCTCCCCAGTGCTGGGATTATAAACATGCACCACCATGCCTGGCCACTATCAGATACTTAATCTGTACGTGTCACATATTTTGTAAATTTCCACTAAGAAAGCATCATGGCGTAAAAAGAAATATTTCTATATGATTAAATTTACTTCAATTTCATTTCTACAGTAAACAGAGAAAAAAGTATATAATAATTCTCTAAATGCTGTATGACATAAAGGAGTTATATTAAACACAATAATTTACCAAAGTATGATTTCAGATTTGAATATAATGATTCAAATTATCAGTGTTAACTATTTAGACAAAAGGAAAATATAGTATCTACTGAGAATTTGCTCTATCAAGTGAATTTATGCAAAAGTTATTTAAAACTTACACCTTACGATAACTTCCTAATATAAAATGTTACTAACACACAAAACTATGCAGAAGGTCTATTTTAACTAATACACACTCAATTTCACTTACAAAATGAAATAATACATTTGCATCTTATTTTAGTGTCTAATTAAAGGCACAAAACACAGAGTAGGAAAATTGTCAGGCATAAAATATAGGAAACTGGAGGAGTTATGAGGACAGTCACATAATTTTACTTCTAACTTACAAAGAAAAAATACTTAGAATTACACCATGATAGTGGACTTTTTTTTGTCTTAAGCAACGGATATAGGAGTTCAGATTTTTTATTCTTATAAATTTCTTTCCTAGCCTTTGTAAAAATAGAGTAATGTGTGAATTCTTGAGTAAAAAAACCTGGGTTGAAATTTTTTAATGGTACAATTAAAAGAAGAACAACTGAACTATTAAACATTTTGCTCAAAAACACCTTCTAACATTTTGGCATCCTTCATCATTCTAGTCGTCACACTAATGAATGCATTTTTCTAAATGTCAGAAAAGGCCAAGGCAGAGTGCCTCCAAGGACTCTCCAACTTTAAAATGTTAATCTCAGAGTACGTCAAACTTGTTTGTGGGAAAGAACAGAAATACGCTGCCTAAAGAAGTTTTCAGGTTTCTGTGAATACAAATTCTTTTGAATGTTATGTAATATAAAAGAGTAGTGTACAAAGAAATTATAATAAAAAATTTGTGTACATTAGCAATTTGTACTTTTCTATAAAAATGAACTATTTAATTATTCTTGACTTTATCAAGATAACTACTAATAATTTCTTACACAACAGTACTAGTATTAGCTTTATTATTTTTAAAGCTTTAAGCTAGTTGGCTATATAACAGTATAAAATTTGAGATAAACTGTTTAAACCATTATTAACATCGCTCTAGAATAATGATTTCTTTTATTTGATTTGCTTTTTCTGAAACAGGGTCTCTGTCTGTAGCCCAAACTGGCCTTGAATTTCATCCCTTCTGCCTCGCCAACTCGAGGGTTACAACGGTAGGTGTGCATCACGCTCACAGCTCCTACCATTCTAGCATGGTGTTAGTGGAAACTGGATCCATTTGTAAGATTTTACTTTCTCATAACTATAAACGATAGAACCAGCTCTATAATCAACTTTGATAAATGTACAAGAATACAGCCAATACAAGAGTAATTCAGAAAGCAAAATCAGGATATGGCCTTTAGAAATTAATATGTCTTAAGAGTTTTAAGAATGTTTAACAATTTAATCACACTGAAAAATCAAAGTTTTATTCCTCAAGTAGGAACAACATAAAGCTAGAACTGCCAACAACATTCAGATAACAGAAGAAAGTTGCAAAGTACAGTACTGATTTAACAACAGGAGATTGGTCTTACGTATTAATACCCAGCACCATTACTTTCTCTGTTAAAACAACCCAAACTTAACAAATCAAATGCATGGCTGTTTATTTTTTGTTGATTTTCACAGGTGATCCTTTGATGTTGAGTCTGTCCACAAAAACGTCTGATCTTCTTTTATTTTCGATGGCTGAACTTTGAAGACGTTTCTCCCTGAGAGATACATGTAAGATCATTAGTGTCCTCCATGTGTATGGTGAGGAGAGACTGGGGATTGAACTCAGGGCCTTTGCACTGAGCTACACTCCCAGCCCTTTAAAAAAATTACTTTTTTATTTTGAAACATGCCCTGTCTAGGGCATGTTTCAGATCCCCAGCGATCTGTGAGACAGAACCACAGGGCTTTGCACTGTCCGTGCCAAGAAATGGGGTGGAGACACTGGATCGGTGCAGGAGCGGGCACTCTCCTGTCTAGGGTTGCTGAATTGCACAGGCTGGGCTTCAACTTGTGGTCCTCCTGCCTCTGCTTCCCAGAGTGCTGAGATTATAGGCAAGCAGCACTATACCAGGCTTAGTATTATTTTTAAAAGGTTGATGGTTTAAAAGTCACTACAAACCAAACAGACTAATAATAACTGTAACTTAAGGAGAGTTTTACCTTAAAAGTACAGTACCTTAATAGCTTTAAAAAATATGATCCAGACTATTCACTAAACATTTAAGAAAGCAACAGCTGTTACAGAGATTTGCAGCTTAAACCTTGCTGTGTAGTCTGACAGCCACGGCTACACTTATAATAAATTAATTATAATAGAAGAGGATCACAGGGAGGTGAGCAGCACTTGTCAGATGCCCAGAAGACTCTCACCAAGGCCCACCAAAGCCTGCCAGATGAAATCCAACAACAGGGCCGTCCGGGATAAGAAGCAGGGCTGCTTCTCCACCCCTGCACTGCTTAGAGCCTGCGTCCAAGGAACAAACTGTCATGGGAAGTTCCCACCCCTGCCCCGCCAAGAAGGCAAGTGCAGCAGTGGCTGCCAGCCCAGCAGCCAGTGCCCAGTGCCCATCTGTCTCAACTCTTCTCCGGCTGGCAGGTGGCCTCCTCAGACCAAGGCACTAAGGACAGTGCAAGCCAGAGCAGCACTCAGAGGTAGGGAACCTAATGGAGCCCAAGGGGTGGAGAGGGACAAAGGACACGGTCCTGGGTGGGGATCCAGAATCCTTGAGCGATCTGAGAGACAGAACCACAGGGCTTTGCACTGTCCGTGCCATGAGATGGGGTGGATCGGTGCAGGAGCGGGCACTCTCCCACTGCCCCAAATGCCACCGAACTCTGTGTCCGGGGGAGCTCCCTCCTGCCATCCCCAAACGTTACTAATTTCATTCCATGCCCCTGCTGAGCCACTGAATTCACAGGCTGAGAAGATACTTTGGGAAGCTGAAGGATGGGAAGCAGGGTCACTGGGAGGGCGACAGTGCAAGTCTGCACCTGAGCAGATGGCTTCCTGCTGGCCCCAGATGCCACTGAAATCCAGGTCAGACGGGAACCCAGTAAGCAGGGGCACGGCTTTGCCCTGGTAATAAAGAAACAGAGAAAGGACTGGGCTCCTGCTTCCTGCCCGACCACAGGCCACCACAGAATTGGGCAGCCAGACAAAGGCTGGGTGGAACTGGGACAGAACTGTAACTGTCAAGGGAGAGGACAGGAGAGAGGTGAGCCGGCCTGTGGCAGAACGCCAACCAGGAGCTTGAAGGTGGGACTGTCAGTGCGCAGAAGCACTGGCTGGCCACACCCCGACATTCTGAGAACACCAGACACTCCGGAGCCCTTTGTTTTTTTGCTTTGTGTGTTTCTACTGTTGCTTGTAAAACGTTCCACATATTTCCTGGGTATCATCTGACCTTTTTGACCTTTTTGACTATTAGTTCAACAGTTGGAGACAGTCTGCTTTCCTTTCACCTCCCACTCAAAAACTCAAACAATGAAAGGAAAGAAGAAATACACAACCTCCTTACCTTTATTATTGTCCTCCTTTCCTGGCTCCTTCCCTGTTATTTGTTTCTTCTCTTTCCTCTTTTTATTTTCCCCTCTCCCTCTACATACATTCTTGTCTTTTATACACAAATGATTAAGATTAATGTAAACATCGTGGTATTTTAACATCTCACATTGCAGGTGCAGAGCTGGCCCTCAGTCTGTTAGATCATTAACTGATCTCCCTCAGTCTGTTAGATCATTAACTGGACTCAATCTCCTGGTGTTTTCTTTCACTACCCACTATCACACACAACAGAGAATATAAACGACCACTTTAGAAAAGAATTAGAGGTTATGAAAGAGAACCAGGAAGTCCTGGAAATTAAGAACACAACTGAAAGCCAGGTCAACAGACATGACCAATCAGAAGGAGAATACCAGTACTGATGTAGTAGATCACTTACTCAGTGACACTACAAAAACAACAAGAAATTCTGAAAGGTTGGTTTAAAAGTTCCCAGATGATTCTAAAACAACCAACTTAAGTACTACAGGAATAAAGAAAGGGCTAGAGAAGAAAGTAAAGGTATAAAAGAAAAACTTTTTAGCCGAAATCATTGTAGAAAACTTTCCAAATCTAGAAACTGAAATGGATACCCAGGATAAGTGAAGTGTTTAGAATCCTGACTAGATATGATCAGAAAAGAAGCTCTCCACAGACATCATAGTCAAAATCCCAGAAATCTAGAACGAAGAATACTAAAAGCCATTAGAAAAAATGTCAATTAACTCATCAAGGCAAGCCCTTTATGATTTCTCAACACAAACCTTAAAGGCCAAGACCGCTTTAAGTTTGTCAAGCCCTTAAAATAAGACTGCCAATTCAGATTTGTGTATCCTGCAAAATGATCTATACAGACTCATAAAGAAATAAAAAGCATTCCACAACAAAAAGAATATAAAGAAAGTCAGACCATGGACAGACGCCACTGCCTACCGCCTCGGGTGAACCCAATCTGTCCCGGGCCAGCTCTGCACCTGGGGATCCTACACCCTGGCTGCAGCCACCCAGCAACCCCAAGCCCCCTCTGCGTTTTGTTTCCTCTTGGCACAGGGCAGCAGGGGCACCAAGGCCATGGACTTGGCTTGATGGAGGATGAGGCCAATGTCCAGGGGGAGAAGGTAAGCTGGAGGGTCAGCAGGCCCAGGGACCAATGGGTAGGCCAGGAGCACTAGCTTCACGAAAAGCTGCTACCATGAACTAGAAGAACAGCATGGGGTTTGGTTTTATTGCAGAAGTGAGTCCTTCATGGCAGGCTAGAGTTGTAGAAGACAACGCAGTGCCTGCCATCGTGCAGAGGGTTAACGAGGAGCCATTGTGGGGGTTCACAGCTTAAGACTGAATCACAGGACAACTTCAGGGTTTCCGGCATTACTTTACCACAGTAGCTGGTAAGAGCCGGCCAGAGAGGGCATGGGGTGGAAATGCATCCCTGAGAGTGGAAGCTCAGGCAGGAAAGGACATGATGCCCGCCCTCTGGGGTGAGAAGCCAGGCCCTGTGAGTGTGACTTTCAGAGGCATGAACTCCAGAAGCCTGCCTGAACCCTACCCTGCTACTTACATCCAGCAGAAACAAGTGCTCTGATTAATCTTCCTATATACCAATGTGAGCAAGGACACACGTCAGCTTGGACGGCTGCCTCAGTATGAGGTGTGTGGACAGAGGGGCCTCTGGAGCGGGGGCAACCTCACAAACCCACAGGCCCTAAAGCTAGGTGGAGAGGGGCTGGGGATTTAGCTTAGAATAATGCCAATACCGACACAATGGGGAAAAACTTTGGCCAGCTGTTCTTTGGACAGAGAACTAATAACCAGAATATATGAAAAACTCAAAAAATTAGAACCTCTAAATGAAAGATCCAGTCAAAAATGGGCAACTGAAATGAATACTTTTCAGAAGTACAAATGGTCAACAAATACATGAAAAAAATGTTCATCGTTTTTGGTTATTAGAGAAATGCAAATCAAAATACACAAGATTTTACTTTACTCCAATAACAAAGAACTCATAACAAATTCTTAATGTTGTAGAGGAAAAAAGAACCCCTCTACATTGTTGGTGTGAATGTAAAGTAGCACAGTCACTATGAAAATCAGTATGGAAATATCTTTAGGGTTTTTTTTGTTTTTGTTTTTTGAGACAGGATCTTGCTGTATAGCTCAGGCTGACTCTGAACTGACTATGTAGTCCTGGCTGGTCTCAAACTTGTGGCGATCCTCCTGCCTCAGCTTCCTAAGTGCTGGGATTACAGGGATGTGCTACCATGCCTGGCTTGGAGATTTCTCAAAAGAAAACTAAAAATGGAAATTTTAGTTGACTCAGCTTTATCTCATTTGGGTAAAGAGTTAAAGACATCATCTTACAGTGATACAGGCATACATGTTTATAGCAGCACAATTCATAATAGCTAGATTGTGGAAGTGGGGTATATGTCCATCAACAAATGAATGAATAAAGAAATGTAATATTTATAAACAATGGAGTACTACTCTGCCATAAAGAAAAATAAATGTGAGTCATTTTTAAAAAGAAAAGATGGATCTTGAGGCCACCAAAATTTTCCCAGAATATCTAATATACATGATATATTACACACATACAGATACTATATAACATAACATTTCTTCTAAGTCTTCTTTAAAAACACTGTTTAGAAATAACTTTTATTGGTCAGGCACGGTGGTGCATGCCTATAATCCTAGCACTCAGAAGGCTGAAGCAGGAGGATTGTTTTG